ACTATGATTATTTATTTTATTTTTACGCTTCCTTACATATTTCCTAACTAATTTATCCGGGTAATTATTAAGTTTCAAGGCTTATTTTATGTGTATCACTTCCTGTCTTAGATTTTCCTTGGTACTACTTAGTTTTTGTGCTCTGTCACTTAAACATTTCACCAATCCTATTTTTACTGACACAGGAGGGGATGATCGGAAGTTCAAATATCTGTTTGAATGTGTAGGTTTCCAGTACACACCAGTGCGTTTAACTTTCCATCTTCTTTCCTCCTTTTTACGCCACAATCTAACATTGGGAGCTCGCTGACGTTCTGACTTCCCGATTCATAAGTGAATTGAATTGCCTCCACCTTTGAGTTAATGTGTTCGAAAAATCTATGTAAATCCTGGTACCTAAACAAAATGTATTAATAATGTAACTTCTCCACTATTCTCTGGTGGCTAGCATCAACTTATGGCAAAAACTAACAACCTCAGTACAACATATGATATTTTTATACTTAGTTCTCAGACCACCATCTCCCACTAACTTCACAGTTGATTTTACAAATTCTCCTACTTGTGAATTGTCCGAATATTATTTACCTATGGCATTAAATCCTATTCGGAAACCACTCAAAATCTAGACTCCCCAATTCTAATGAACTGAAACACAGACTGGATTAGTTAAAGTCACGTAGACAAGGTGAAAAGATGGTTGTTAGTTTCCACATCACATCAGTCTATACACGCAAATACCGATAAATACGGTCACAGATTCGGTCAGAAACAGACTCATATCGGATCTAAAACTTCAAATTGCAACAAAAGTACCACTAGAAGGGATCATACTAGGAGTGCACCTATATCTGCCTTCTACATCGTTTCAATTCCAAGGGAAAGAGTACAAACAAACTGAGAGTACTGGCAACGAACGGATCATCAATATCTCCCACAGTCACAGGTTCATTTGTGGATACATTGGAAAACTTAGTGACTGAGACGTCCGTACTCAACCCCAAAATATGGCGGATGTATGCAGACAACATATTCAAAGTGGTTAACTAAGTGTAGTAGTGCCAAGGGATTTCTCAATCGAAGACTTAGAGTCAGTCAACACTAATAACGACAACAAGAAATTAGAGAAGACAAACAAAACTAACACTCTTACCCAGAAACATCAGATGGCGCCATTAACAGGTGCTTTCGCAAGCCTCTTTGTATTGCGACGTTTCGACATGTCCCTGTAAAAACTGGTGAACTAATCTTTACGGCATTAAATAATTCCTCAACTGAAGGGAATGCTCCAAAAGATGGCTGTGCCCCACATGACAAACACAAGTCTGGATCACATTCTCTAACAGCCAAAACAGCATACTCTCACATTACACTGACCGTGACAACGACATCCTGGAAACCTATTCGTACAAATAGGCACATATTGTGCCTATTCGCACAATAGGTGTCTATTTGTACGAATAGGTTTCCAGGATGTCGTTGTCACGGTCAGTGTAATGCGAGAGTATGCTGTTTTGGCTGTTAGAGAATGTGATCCAGACTTGTGTTTGTCATGTGGGGCACAGCCATCTTTTGGAGCATTCCCTTCAGTTGAGGAATTATTTAATGCCGTAAAGATTAGTTCACCAGTTTTTACAGGGACATGTCGAAACGTCGCAATACAAAGAGGCTTGCGAAAGCACCTGTTAATGGCGCCATCTGATGTTTCTGGGTAAGAGTGTTAGTTTTGTTTGTCTTCTCTAATTTCTTGTTGTCGTTATTAGTGTTGACTGACTCTAAGTCTTCGATTGAGAAATCCCTTGGCACTACTACACTTAGTTAACCACTTTGAATATGTTGTCTGCATACATCCGCCATATTTTGGGGTTGAGTACGGACGTCTCAGTCACTAAGTTTTCCAATGTATCCACAAATGAACCTGTGACTGTGGGAGATATTGATGATCCGTTCGTTGCCAGTACTCTCAGTTTGTTTGTACTCTTTCCCTTGGAATTGAAACGATGTAGAAGGCAGATATAGGTGCACTCCTAGTATGATCCCTTCTAGTGGTATTTTTGTTGCAATTTGAAGTTTTAGATCCGATATGAGTCTGTTTCTGACCGAATCTGTGACCGTATTTATCGGTATTTGCGTGTATAGACTGATGTGATGTGGAAACTAACAACCATCTTTTCACCTTGTCTACGTGACTTTAACTAATCCAGTCTGTGTTTCAGTTCATTAGAATTGGGGAGTCTAGATTTTGAGTGGTTTCCGAATAGGATTTAATGCCATAGGTAAATAATATTCGGACAATTCACAAGTAGGAGAATTTGTAAAATCAACTGTGAAGTTAGTGGGAGATGGTGGTCTGAGAACTAAGTATAAAAATATCATATGTTGTACTGAGGTTGTTAGTTTTTGCCATAAGTTGATGCTAACCACCAGAGAATAGTGGAGAAGTTACATTATTAATACATTTTGTTTAGGTACCAGGATTTACATAGATTTTTCGAACACATTAACTCAAAGGTGGAGGCAATTCAATTCACTTATGAATCGGGAAGTCAGAACGTCAGCGAGCTCCCAATGTTAGATTGTGGCGTAAAAAGGAGGAAAGAAGATGGAAAGTTAAACACACTGGTGTGTACTGGAAACCTACACATTCAAACAGATATTTGAACTTCCGATCATCCCCTCCTGTGTCAGTAAAAATAGGATTGGTGAAATGTTTAAGTGACAGAGCACAAAAACTAAGTAGTACCAAGGAAAATCTAAGACAGGAAGTGATACACATAAAATAAGCCTTGAAACTTAATAATTACCCGGATAAATTAGTTAGGAAATATGTAAGGAAGCGTAAAAATAAAATAAATAATCATAGTATTGATAGTGGCAGTAATAACAATAATAATAGTAATAATGACGACATGCATGTTAAATATGCGAAAGCCACAACACCAACAATAAGGAATCTAAATCATCAGTAGTATTTCCATGCAAGGAAGGAACCTCGGAAACCACCTTACGCAGAATTCTTAACAAGACAGGCAGGAATAAAAGTCGCTGTCATTCAAACCACTCACAAACTCAATTAGAAACAAGCTTCGTGGGTTAGAAGATCCCTCCTATGGAGGAGCCTTTAGAACAAAACAATTCAGTTTATCTAATACGCGCTCTCTACCTGCAATGATTGTCAGGTCAAATACATAGGTCAAAGCAGTGGAACAGAGGCAGTCAGTCAGACTAGCCCAGCATAAAAACCTAGCACCAAAATCTAGATTGGTTGACCCGAATAGGATTAAAAATCTAGACAATAATTCAGCCGTAGACAGACAGCACTCACTACATGCAATTACACACAACCATACCATAGGATGGATGGGGTAGGATGACAGTTTTAAAATCTAATGTAACAGAGTGGTGAGTTGGGAAGATTGATAACAATGGAGGCTTTGTCTATCGAATCAACTGGAAATGCTGCATGTGTTAGGAATGGTTCAACACCTGTCCACCCAGACATCTGGAAAATTCTACTACCAATTCTACAACCACGACAAATGGGAGAGAATAAAGAAAACAACTATAAAACTCAAGTTTCGAAGTCGTGTGATTAATTATAATTGATGATATGATTATGAACAACAATAATAAATTGTGTTCGAAACCTTGTCATCCAGTAAATAATAATAATTGTGTTTCACTATGTCGTACACCTCAGAGAGTTAGGTTGATGTAATTTCATTAAAGTTTTCAGTAATCTGTAGCCTTTTTAATGGTTCACGTATTCTGAAATTTGGAAAAACTGTGCTCTTCGGGCTTTGTTTTTTTATTGGTGGTCCAGTCACTGCATTCAGGAACTTCCCATTTTGTTTTATTGTTGAAACGCATAGAAACGTGTTAGTTTTTTGCACCAAAACAATCCGCCAGAATTTTATTAGAGGGAATTGAATGAAAAATAAAAATGTTTACAAAACTGATAAGGAACTTCATTAGGAAGGTAAACAGCCATACTTAACATGTCGTAACAGAATTGGTCAGTTATTATGAGGAAGGGACGAAGGAACGAATATGCGGCACAATCGCAAGTGATTACTGTTCTTGGCCACATCCCATACTGTTTTGAGCTTTCAATTCGCGGTCTCTCTCGGGCTCCAACTAGGGAGTAGGCTACTAACTAACTGCATGAAACGGCAGGCATAGACTGGGAATTAAGGCAAAGGCGAAAGGCTGTCCATTGTGTGTAGACGTCAAGGTTAGCGATGGTAAAATACAGGAGTCTATGTATAAAAATAATGTTGGAAAAAGATGTGTCACTTCAGATATAATAACTGCTTGAAAGCATTACTACGAGCTCGCGATAAGTTTCACTGGTAGTTTTTCGCTTCATTCCACTTATCGTGTGAGGTGTGAGATACTGTTTGGGCGCGCAGACTGAGGCAGCGCGACCACCGCCGGAGCTTTTGACTTAGAGCCTAATCCGCAAGGCAGCATATCAGCGTCAGGAGCTGCGTTCCTATGGTGTCCGGTGATTAATATACGTTCATATGCCATTTGGTTTTTATTGGATTCTGGAGCCCACGTAACCCATGGCAATTGCTTTTAGTCTAACCGCTATCCAAACAACCTTTCTAACATGGTTGGTAGGACCTGTAGGAACATGAATTCCAGCCAGTTTAACTTGTTGGTTCAGTGTGCCGTACTCAAGCCTTGACCACCACGACAAGGTAGCGGTTGTCGGCCGGGCGACCGGTTATCGTCATCAGACTTACCAACATGAAATAACTCTGCTGTAGAGTTAATGTCAAGACGAAGTTGAAGACATTTTTGAAGATATGATGTACATAAGAGTTACTTTTCATCATTTAGGTTTTTAGCTGTAATCCTGGGAGGGGGAGGGGGGGGGTTATTTTCCACTTTTGCAGTTTTTTTGTTCACCTCATTTTATTTATTACAGCATCGATATGATTGTACCTTTTCTGCTTTACCAAATTATTATTATTATTATTATTACTGAATAGAATTCACCAATGCCGAAACAACTGAAATTATTGGCTTATCGGATAGATAACTTTGGTATTCGTATGGCGAATACATTTCGTCGTATCCCAATAATTCGTCTTATTACGATATCCTATTTATTAATACTTCATATATGGATGCTACTCTCATTTCTGCTGCCTATGAATAATAACACGACAACTACTACTAGAAATACTAGTAGTAAGTTACCTGCTGATCATAATTCACCACCAGTTGTCGATCCAGTTAATCAGCTTCCTGTTGTGTTAAACAAGCCTTAAATATCTTTTTTGTGTTATTGTTGCTAAAGGAAGAGACTGTAGTCAACTGCTCACCAATGATATACTATTTTTAAAACATCTGAGTTTTGTATTTCTTTTGTTCTTGTTCTTCTTCTTCTTTAATTTCATTGTATTGTCTCTCCTAATTTCTTATGTGATATCTTATTTCATATCGTACCCGTGGCTTTCCGTTTCCGTCTGTCTGTCTGTCTGTCTCTCTTCCTTCTTCTTCTTTTCGTTTTTGTATTCTTTTGGGAAAGTGGTGGTGAACTAGCGTGTGTGTGTGTGTGTGTACATCCGAGTTGTTTTTGAAATTCTCATTGATTTTTATTACTTTCCAGTTAATTTCTTATTTAAATGTTTTGAATAAATTTACAACCAATCAGATTAATTCTATCTTTTCTTTTAAAGGTCACTTATATAATGTGCATATGTTTTTAAATCTCTGATATAAACTGAAGTATTTACGATACATGATAATATGTTGCTATGGGTGAATATTTTCTGTGTCACGGTGTTTGATGAGTATATAATTCAAACTGTGAAGGATAGCAGTAACATTATTTGAGCTTTAGTCTCTTGGTCTCCAACTTATTTAATACCTTGAGAATGTCAAGCCCTTTTACCTTTTATTTGACATAAAATTTATCTTATTCATCAATTAATTCGTCAATAAAGAGGAGAATAGAAATGAATAATAAACATTTGTGAAGAAATTATAATTCATTCGAGGTCGTTAACCAAGAAGTAGTTATTGTACTGTTGACGATGGATTACACTGAATGGAAACAAAATTAATTAGGTTTTACAATAATATATTATCTGAAAGCTACTCACATCAATCTATAATAAAGCATTAATGTGAATCTATAAACAAAACAAGGTGTAACAACAGAAGACAGGAGCCAGGCAACAGATCGTTTACTTAATCAAAAGATATTTATATATTTTTATGTACATCATTATTCATTATTATTAGCAGAGAAATACCGTCTTCCGATTGGTTATTTTCTCGCTGGAAGTTATTCTGTTATCTCTTTGCGGCCATTTCTCTGAAGGTCAGATCATGTATGTGCTGATCGTATCCACCCACGCTAAGTCTGCCGTAATGGTTGTTGAGTTCCTCAAGGTCAGGATTTATTGCTGTTTTTTCTCATGACCAAGATTGGGGACATCAACATTGACGTTAATTACTGATCATCAGCGAAGTGTCGAGTGAAGGCCTGTAGGTTTGTTCGAGGTGCCCTTCGTGACGCGGCACCTAGTCTCTGATCCGCATAGTGAGTAGCACTGACTTCACATCGAAGTTAAAAAATTCTCATCTTGTTTTTCATCCTGAGTGCTGTTGATCTACCTACAGACTTGAGAGTAATGAAAGCTTGTCTTGCGTTCCCGATCATCCTCGCCCTGATATCCTCATCAGTTCCGTTCACTTGTAAGTGAAATGACGACCCTTTCCAGATAGGAAGGTAGGTGAAGGTTACTTCTGTCGGATTGCTCCCACTTATGCTGTCTGTTGTTGTTGGTGTTTCTTTTGGCCAGGAATTTTCATCCCCTCTGTTCTCTCTATGTTCACCTGAAGGAAGTCCTATCTTCTCAGGATGCTTTATCTGCCAACTTGTTGATTTTCACTTGCATATCTTCTAGTTTGTGAGAAATCAGACATATATATGTCATCGGCTAAATTCAGATCTTCCAAGTTCTTTCTTTGTGTGGGTCCATTTTATGTCTGTTTCCTCGCTGCCCACTGCTGTCTGTCGCATTATCCAGTCTACCGCCCACAATCAGGAAAATCATTGGAGATGTTTAGTAGACAACCTGCTTGTCTTACTCCTGTTTTTACTTCGAAGGATTCCGTGAGTTTCCCATTGTGGATTACTTGGCTTGCAGCATTATCGTGTCCAGTCTAAGTTATAGGTAATTATTCCTAAAAATCCCCAAACAGAAATAAAAACATTATTACTTTACGCGCTTATTTTCACAGTCCCCTCGTATAATGAAAGTGAGTGGTTAGGGAATTCAAAGTAGCAAACAAAATTTTCTTAATTGTTTACTACTATTACCATACTGGAAAAAGTGTATTTAAAAACTCGAACAGATTTAAGCTGTAAATATTCTTAAGTTAAACGGTGAAATGATCCACTCAGAAAAATGCTGAGAACTGCTTTCTCATGGTTAAATGACGTTAATCAGAAACATGTATCTGTATTTATTAAGCAAACTTCACAGAATGAATAGTAACTCACTCAGCTCTGAAATCGAATGATTTGTCACAATTCTATGAACAGCTGTAGGTGGTGAAGACTGTGGTAAGTGGCTAATGAAAGATGCTGCCTGCCTTGTAAACCCTTCTTGTACTATTATTATTCCCAAGGTCACCGGGAGAGATGATTAATAAACTCGTGGAGAAATCCAAACAGTTCACTTCAGGAAATTGAAGTATGCACTGAAGATGTCGTTTAGTGGTGGGGCAATGAAAGCTTCGCAAATCGACTACCCAGCTTAGAGAATACAACCACATCAAAATCATCCACCCAAGCTACAAATATTCTCTATCATATCTAAATGTTACCTGTAGTTGTCTGTAGAACTCTTTTTTCTTCTCGAGGTCTGCGTTGTTTGTGGGTGCATAGCACATTGTATAACTGACACTTTCCTTTCTTTGGAGTTGAATCAGGCGGTCATTATCCTGGGTGAGATCGCCTCCCATTGCATCAAGGCCTTCGTTTCCGTTGGTGACATCATGATAGCCACACCATCGGTTTGCATGCATTTGTCTTCTAGGTGACCGGAGTAGATCAAAGATTCCCCATGTCATCTGCTTTCACATATATCCAGTTCTTGAATTCCGTATCTTTTCATCTCATTAACAATTTGGGCTGCTTTATCAGTCTCATACATGGTGCGGACGTGCCACGTCCCCCCACACATGGAATTTTTCTTTTGACACAAATAGACTCATCGTGCTGAAGTTTCTGTAGCAGTTTTGTTTACAGGGTTGGGTTGCTAGCCTCACGCCTGAGAAAGGGGTTGTTAGAATAACATATAGTTGACAAAGGAGCGACCTTGTGGATTGCTCCCCTGAATTTGATGTCTACTGGTTAGTTTGCCAATGAACTCAAGAATTAAACATTTGTTATTGACACATATATCTAAATTACTTTATCGCTACTTGTCCCAACTTTCGGTTATTGTCTTAATTTCGTACCATCGGTGACAAATAGGATGAGTCTGCAGTGTTTCAGGCGTTAAGAATTCAGTTTTTGAAGAATTAATAAGTGCAGGATTTCATCATGAGCTGACATTTGTTAGAGAACCATTGGAAAACCTGCAGGGAATACTGGACATCTGTTTCGTCATAGTTTGGGACTCTCCATCAGTGTACACCCGCCACAGGGGTTCGAGCCCATGACCTGGTTACAAGGCGAGCTCGTATACCAATAAGCCACTGGGACCCAATCCAATGGCCCATGAATTCTAACTTCTGCCAATCCACGCACAACATAGCGCGACCCGTAGCCAATGTCTTCAGTGGCGAGTATTTGTCCTCACACCCGACCTGCCGCACATTACTGGTCACGACTTCCCACCCGAACCCAGGTGACTACTTAGCTGAATAGAGCAAGTCGCTAGTGAGCATCTCATCGATATTTAAGTGTTGGTTTGTAGGGATTTGGTTGGTTACATGATTTCATCATGAGCTGATATTGGTAGGTAGTTACCTGGGGTTCTAGTGAGAAGTCGTGACCAGGAGGGTGCAGCAGGTCGGGTGTGAGGACAAATACTCTCCAGAAAGACATTGGCTAGGTCGTGAATTGGCAGAAGTTAGAATTCATGGGTCATTGGATCGCGTCCCAGTGGCTTAAAGGTCTACAAGATCGCCTTGTAATTAGAAGGTCCTGGGTTCGAACGCCCTGTGGTAGGTGCGTACTGCTGGAGAGTCCCAAACTGTGAGGGAGGAAACAGCTATTAAGTACTCCCTGTAGGTTTTCCAATGGTTCTCTAACTAATGTCAGCTCATGATGAAATCCTGTAACCATTCAATCAAATCCCTACAAACCAACACTTAAATTAATAAGTATGTTGGTATCCTGTATGAAATTGGCTAAAGAAGTTAATTTACGACATTTTCAAACGTCAGATGAATAATAATAGTCAGTAGCAATACAAATCAACAAGAGTATAAGAAAATCCTCCTTCACATATAACTAATCACATGCAAGTGCATCTTAACGTAGATGATTTTTACACTTGCTTCCTTCATTCTGAAGTCAGCGCTGAATAAAGGCGATGAAAAAACTCTTAGATAAACATTTCAGTCTACAAGATTTCATTACACTATAGTATATGTAATGTTCGTGTTTTCCGATTTTCTCCAGTATAATTCACCTGTACCTTCATTGAAAAGGAAAATACTGCAGTGCTAATTTACTTTATTTTTATTCCGACAGATTGGTTATGACATAATAAGGTATTTGTTATTCAATTGCATTGTACCGGTGAATACTCTTGTCCTGATGCATTTTATTGTCATCGGTGGATAGTACTAAAATTAATAAAGTAGTTCGTGTAGTATTTGAAAATTTACCTAAAGTTTTGCATACAGTAGTATCAGAAAAGCTGCTTATCATAAAATGAGAGTGGTGATAGTTCGTGCATAATATTCTATGCGGTGAGTTATCTAAATAATCTCGAAGGCTACAACCTGTCTCAAGTTTATTCATAAATTGACTTCACTTGTTATTGAGGACTGATCGATCGATTTAGAACACAAGTCAGCAGAGACCTCTTTTCTTAACCTAACTTCAAAGCTATATAATCATTTAGGGATTTTAACACAAGGTCATAGTGGTAGATAATCCCCCAAAATTATTGGCAAACAGGATTTATCAGTCAACAGTGGATAATGATCTTCATTGTTTAAGTTGATTGGCTTAGCCGAAGGCCCATGATCAAACATTCTCGACATATGGCACGCCGTCATGTTACGTTCGTTCGTG